AAGAAGAAGAAGAAGAAGAAGAAGAAGAAGAAGAAGAAGAAGAAGAACAAGAACAAGAACAAGAAGAAGAAGAACAAGAACAAGAAGAACAAGAACAAGAAGAACAAGAAGAGGAGGAGGAGGAGAGGAAGAAGAAGAAGAAGAAGAAGAAGAAGAAGAAGAAGAAGAAGAAGAAGAAGAAGAAGAAGAAGAAGAAGAAGAAATAATAATAATCCAGAAGTTTACTCTTTTTAGTTTCCTATTGTCTTAACTTTAACTTCACACCCCTCTAGGGTAAATTCAGTTATCTGAGTGGATTAAAGGTACAGCATTGTCATTTGTGTTACGGCCATGAATTCAAGCAGCAGTTTTTTTCCAGCACATTTGGTTTCCTGCAACCTCAGGCAGTTGGAAGGACCTGCAGGAGCTCTTCCCACCCCCCAAAAAAACATGGCTAAAAAAGAGGGGAAGTTGCAATCTATTTATTCCACGGAAGGGAAAGGAAGGCGGGCCAGGCAAATGAGGAAGGGGAAGGTGGCAGGGTAAGAGGTGGGAGACCAGCAATCATGGCTTCCAGGCTGAATGGAGCCTCTTGGCGGAGGAGGGTCTTGGGCTGGTTCTCTTCAGCCACTGGAAAATAAAGTAGCAGAAAGAGGGGTAACCACAAAATGGGGAAGGGAGTCTGTTCCCCCAAATCCCTCTTCGACTCCTCAGAGTCATCCACACAACCTTTACCCCACCAGCCTTTCTCTTTCAAACAAGAGACCGGATGAACTCGCAGCAGCTGGAAATTTTACGTGACCTATAACCTCCCCGCTCGCCAATGGCGGTTTAGAGGCAGCTCTTCTCTTGCACCCAAACAGCTGGAGGGCAGCCCCCCCCCCCCCCCCCCCCCCGCATGCCACCATAATAAAGGCAGTTCCTCCTCCCCTCCCGGGCCCATTTCAACCCTTTGTAAGGCAATGGGCACTCACCTAATTTGCTGGAAACATTTATCTGCAATGCAGAGAAGGACCCTGGTTTAGTCTCGGAGGCTGGGAATGATTTAGGGACCCCTAAAAGGCAGGAGGGCAGCAGCTCCTTCTCAGCCAGGGGGGGGGTTAGGGGTGGAGAGTGTTGGGGGCCTGGGTGAGGGGGTCCCCCCCCCCCCCCCCCCCGTGAGGCTGGCAATTCTCTTAGCTACAATTTCCTGCTGCTTCCACTCCCCAGCTGCCCTTTTCCGCCTCCTCTGGGGTTCCCATGGGCTCGACACCCACAAAAGGGTCCCTCCGCTCACCGGACAAGGGTGGGACCACCAGTTCGCCCATGAGCCCCATTTTCTGGCAGTAGGCCTTGAATTTGTCCAGGTTCTCCCTTCCTTTGAGGTCTTTGCCTGCATGGGGAAAGGGGGACACGGGGAGGAGGGTTAGAGCTATTCACACGTGCATTGAACGTGACCTCCAAACTCCCTGATGGGAGCTCATACGTGCGCGCGCACACACACAAACAATTTAGGGACAGGGAAGATCTGAGTTCAAGGCTTGCTCAACACTCCTGCAGAAGGGAGCAAGGCTGACGGGAAGGCAAAGCCGTTGAGAAGAGAGCCAGGGAGCCCAAAGGTTGAAAGGAGCAACCGTCATTCCCCACATCCATCATCCACAGCCGCTTTGGTTTGTGGCCCTGGGGTCCAAGAAGCGGGAGGGCCCTTCGCCTCTGCCCAGTCACCCACTGTAAAACTGGAGACTCCTGCTGGTGGGCATCCCCTTCATCTCCCGCTGGACGTAGACGATGGCAAAGTTGGCGTCGCTGGCCAGCACCCACAGGTCCTTCTTGCCCCTTTCTGCAGAGGGGGGGGAGGGGAATCAGTGGGAGGCCCCCTCCAGGCCCTTCTCCCCCCCACACACACACACTTCCCACCCCACCGCCCACACTCTCTGGAAAACCAAATGGGGGGCACTCTGCACCTGCTCAGAGTCACGCGCATCTCCTCTAACGTCTCTTTTCAAGAAAGGAAGCCCTGTTTGGTCTCCCTCCATACCGTCAATTGAAACGAAGTGTCCGGGCCGCTCCGTCTTCGCGTACGTCCCTTTCATCCCTTCGCAATCTTCTCCCCTTGAAAGCAGCAAAGAGGAGTCACGTGTGGGTGGGGTTGGAGTTTGGGCTGACAAAAGAGATGCCCTTTCTGGGCTCGCTTTGGGGTGGCTGTCCTTTGCCCCCATCTGGGGTGTGTGTGTGTGTGTGTGTGTGTGAGTGAGTAGGTTCCAGTTGCTTCCAGAGATTTAGTCCTGGGGCACCACCCCGGAATCCCGAACGGAGCAGGACAGTGGCGGGATTCAAAAATTCTTACTACTGATTCTGTGGCCGTGGCTTGGTGTGCATGGCAAGGGGAGGATACGGCAAAATCCCCCTTCCCTCCCCACCCCGCTAGCCTGCTCTCCAGCTCCGTTCTCCTGTGCAAGGCAACCAAAGAAGAGCCAGCCGATCAGCTGGGACTCAGTAGGCAGGGAATAGATGGGGTTGGTGGGGCCAGTCAGAGGTGGCGTTTGCCGGTTCTCCGAACTACTCCAAATTTCTGCAACCGGTTCTCGACAACCGGTCAGAACCGGCTGAATTCCACCTCTGGATCCGGAGGGAGTTTCCTACACTTGGCTTAAATCAGGGCTGGGTCAACCTTTGCCGTCCCCTCCCCAGGGCAGTACTGTTGTGGGGGAGGAGGGGAAGATCAAGGAAAGACCCAACCACAAAAGGTATTTACAATAGGTAGTATGTTTCTATTTCCAGGTTGCCATTTGGTAAGGCGACGATCCGGGCTGCCGGTGTCGTGATGATGTCCTTCAGGCTTTCAAGCATCGGGTCGGTGGAGG